ATAAAGAACTTATGAAACTCAACACCCAAAGAACAAATGATCCAATCAAGAAATGGGCAAAAGACATGAACAGACATTTTTCAAAGACGACATCCAAATGACCAACAGACACCTGAAAGAGTGCTCAACATCGCTGGGCATCAGGGAAATCCAAATCAAAATGAGATATCACCTCACACCAGTCAGAATGGCTAAAATTAACAAGTGAGGAAACGACAGATGTTGTTGCGGATGTGGAGAAAGGGGAACCCTCCTACACTTCTAGTGGGAATGCAAGCTGGTGCAACCACTCTGGAAAACAGTATGGAGGTTCCTCAAAAAGTTGAAAATAGAGGTACCATATGACCCAGCAATTGCACTACTGCATACTTACCCCAAAGGTACAAATGTAAAGATCCAAAGGGGTACATGTACCCCGATGTTTATAGCAGCAATGTCCACAATAGCCATACTATGGAATGAGCCAAAATGTCCATCAACAGATTAATGGATAAAAAAGATGTGGTATATAAATACAATGGAATATTATGCAGCCATCAAAAGGAATGAAATCTTGCCACTTGCAACGACATGGATGGAACTGAAGGATATTATGCTGAGCAAAATAAGTCAATCAGAGAAAGACATGTATCATATGACCTCACTGATATGAGGAATTCTTAATCTCAGGAAACAAACTGAGGGTTGCTGGGGTAGTGGGGGGTGGGAGGGATGGGGTGGCTGGGTGATAGACATTGGGGAGGGTATGTGCTATGGTGAGCACTGTGAATTGTGCAAGACTGATGAATCACAGACCTGTACCTCTGAAACAAATAATACATTATATGTTAGGAAAAAAAGAAGAAGAAAAAGAAGATAGCAGGAGGGGAAGAATGAAGGGGGGGAATCAGAGGGGGAGATGAACCATGAGTGACTATGGACTCTGAGCAACAAACCGAGGGTTCTAGAGTGGAAGGGGGTGGGGGAATGGATTAATCTGGTGATGAGTATTAAAGAGGGCACGTTCTGCATGGAGCACTGGGTGCTATATGCAAACAATGAATCATGGATCACTACATCAAAAACGGATGATGTAATGTATTGTGATTAACATAACATAATAATAAAAAAATTTAATTTGTCTGATATAAGGATTGTCACCCCAGCTTTCTTTGATGTCCATTAGCATGGTAAATGGTTTTCAACCCTAACATTTTCAATCTGGAGGTGTCTTTGGGTCTAAAATGAGTCTCTTGCAGACAGCATATCGATGAGTCTTGCTTTTTTATCCAATCTGATACTCTGTGTCTTTTGTTTGGGGCATTTAGCCCATTTACATTCAGAGTAACTATTGAAAGATATGAATTTAGTGCCATTATTGCCTGTAAGGTGACTGTTACTGTATATTGTCTCTGTTCCTTTCTGGTCTATGCTACTTTTGGGCTCTCTCTTTGCTTAGAGGACCCCTTTCAATATTTCTTGTAGGGTTGGTTTGGTATTCACAAAATTCTTTTAGTTTTTTTTGTCCTGGAAGCTTTTTATCTTTCCTTCTATTTTCAATGACAGCTTAGCTGGATATAGTATTCTTGGCTGCATATTTTTCTCATTTAGTGCTCTGAAGATATCATGCCAATTCTTTCTGGCCTGCCAGGTCTCTGTGGATAGGTCTATTGCCAGTCTAATATTTCTACCATTGTAGGTTACAGACCTCTTTTCCCAAGTTGCTTTCAGGATTTCTTCTTTGTCTTTGAGACCTGTAAGTTTTACTATTAGATGTTGGGGTATTGACTTATTTTTATTGATTTTGAGAGGGGTTCTCTGTGCCTCCCAGATTTTGATGCTTGTCTACTTCCCCAAATTAGGGAAGTTCTCTGCTATAATTTGCTCCAATATACTTTCTGCCCCTCTGTCTCTTTCTTTTTCTTCTGTGATCTCAATTATTCTAATATTGCTTCATGTTATTCTATCACTTATCTCTCCAATTCTGCCCTTGTGATCCAGTGGTTGTTTATCTCTTTTTCTCAACTTCTTTATTTTCCATCATTTGGTCTTCTATATCACTAATTCTCTCTTCTGCCTCATTTATCCTAGCAGTTAGAGCCTCCATTTTTCATTACACCTCATTAATAGCCTTTTTGATTTCGACTTGGTTGGTTCTTTTGTTTCTACAGAAGGGGATTCTCTACTACCTTCTATGCTTTTTTCAAGCCCAGCTAGTATCTTTATAATCATCATTCTGTATCTAGGTCTGACATCTTAATAATGTCCCTATTGATTAGTTCTCTGGCAGTTGGTATGGTCTCTTGTTCTTTGTTTTTTTGTGTGTGTTTTTTTGAGGTGGGTTTTTCTGTTTTGTCATTTTGTTCAGAGAATAGATGAATGAGAGAACAAAATGCTAAAAGGGTAACAATGACCCCAGAAAAATATACAGTAGGCAAATCAGAAGAGATCTGAAACCAGGGGGAAAAGAAAGGAAAAAAGAAAAAAGGAAAGAATGTGGTCAGGCAGGAAACGAACAAAGCCATACACTAGATTTAGGGTATTTTGATCTGTTAGAAGAAACTCTATCCCTAAAATTTTAAAGAAAGAAAAACATATTTATACAAAAAATAGGGTTAAACACAATGAAGGGATAGAATATAACTGTAAAAATGAAAATTAAAAAAGATTTTTAAAAAAGAATTGATAAGATGTTGGTTGAAAAAGGAAAGAAAATAGAAAAAGAAAAATAAAGAAAAATTTAAAAATTAACTTTTGAAAGACTAAAGAATCATGGGGGAAAAGCTATGAATTCTATGTGCTATATTCTCGTAGTGCTGGAGGTTTGCCTTTCTCATTGATCGGTAAATTTGGTCTTGGCTGGATGTTCTTGCTGATCTTCTGGGGGAGGGACCTGTTGCAGTGATTCTCAAATGTCTTTACCAGAGGGGGATTTCCACCACCCTTGCCAGGGGCCAGGGTAAATAATCTGCTCAGGTTTGCTCTTGGTAGCTTTCGTTCCCTGAAGGCTGTCCGTACAGCTTTAAAGGACAAGAATGAAAATGGTGACCTCCCAGTCTCTGACCCCATAGGGCACTCCTCATTGTGCCCTCAGAGAAAAGCAGTCAGTCATTCCTGTCTCCCTGGTCTCCGGTCACATTCCATGCTCATCTGGCCTGTGACCAAGCGTTTCTATCTCTGGCACACAACCCTGTTTTAAGTCTCCAAACCCGGCAGATCCCTGTGGTGCACACCTATGCCACTCCTCCCAGGGGAGGAAGGGGAGTCTCCCCCATTCTGCTGCTTGTTCGGTCCCTGCTGGAAGAGTAATGGCCTGACTGTACCATGGATCATGGTTTATGGCAAGCCTGAGCTAAGAGCCCACTCCTCAGCTCTGTCTTTGCAGTCAATTTCCTGCTCTGATACCTGGGAACTCTGCCACACTCAGGCACTGGTCTTTCTGTGACCCCGAGAGTCCTGAGACCACACTGTCCCAGCGAGGGTTCCACACCCTGCTTAGCCACTGGAGTGACGTCCCACCCCCAGCGGTCTATCTTCTCAGATATTGCCTCGGATTCACTTCTCCACACATCCTACCTTACAGAAAGTGGTCGCTTTTCTGTTCATAGAATTGCTGCTATTCTCCTCTTCGATCTCCTGTTGAGTTTGTAGGTGTTCAGAATGGTTTGGTAACTATTTAGCTGAATTTCTGGGACCAGATGAAATTTAGGTCTCCTAGTCCTCCACCATCTTTCTCCAACCCCTAAGCACATTCTGTACAATATCAAATACTCTTCTTTAAATAAGATAAAAACAGAGAGGGAGGCAAACCACAAGAGATTCTTAACTCTAGGAAACAAACTGAGGGTTGTTGGTGGGGAGGTGGGTGAGGGGTTGGGGTAACTAGGTGATGGGCACTAAGGAGGGCACTTGATATAATGATGATGGGTATTATATGCAACTGATGAATCATTAAATTCTACCCTTGAAACTAATAATACAGTATATGTTAACTAAATTGAATTGAAATAAAAAAATTAAAATAAATAAATAAGTTTAAACAAGTACATTATGTCTTTAATAAAAAATATTCTTACTCAATTTGTATTGCAAGATATTATACAACAGTGACTGCTACAAACATTTCCCAGAAGAAGACATAGATTTGATAAAAATAAAATCTTACATTGCTTCAGAATTCATTATGCATGTAGTTCCTGGACAGTAACAATTGTAGATATCATCGTATGTTAATCCCAGATTAATTCCAAGCAACTGTACCATAACAACTGAAAATGCATCTAAAGTTATCATCTGTGGATACTAAATGCAAAAAACAAAACAGAATTTTTGCCTAAATTATTTCTTCACCTCTTTGATCTTTTCTTTTTGACCATATTACCTAAATGCAAATACAAATTTAAGAAACTACTATGCCAAAGCTCATTATTTTCTTAGGGATATGGAAAATAAGAAAAAATGGGTAAATTTTGTTTTTCTTTTTGGGTTATTGTATTTTTAATCCAAATGGCACTGACATATACCTAAATGAGATTAATGCTATCATATGCTTTTACTACATATTAAATACCAATAAGCTTTTAAAGTTTTTTGAGAAGAATATGACTGTTTCAGTAACTATATTATTTTTTAATGAACACCTAGGAAAAAAACTACACAGATTCTTAAGGGTTGAATTTGCAATCGGTTTTGACTTCAGAAATAGTTTTGGAAGAGTCAAATTAATTTTTTTAAAGGCAGAATACACTTTGTAAGTAGAATTTTTGTCTTAAAACACACACACACACACACACACACAGCAAATAAGAATGGCAACAAGACACAAACCCCTGGCAACCTATAATCTTTTTACTATCTCCACAGTTTTTCCTTTTTCAGAAAGTCATATAGTTGGACTCATACTGTATGTAGCCTTTTCAGATTGGCTTTTCTCACTAACCACTATGCACTTAAGTTTTTTCATGGTTTGATGCCTCACTTAAAAAAAAAATCATTGGATAGTATCCCTTTATATCAGTTTACTCCAGTTTGTTTATCCATTCATCTCTTAAAGGACATCTTGGTTGAGCCCAATCTTTGGCAATTATGAATAAAGCTGCTATAAACATTCACACAGGTTTTTGTGTGGATATAAGTATTCAACTCATTTGGGAAACACCAAAGAGGACAACTGCTGGAATATATGGTAAAAAAAATAAAAAATAAAAAAGACTAAGAACTTGAATAGATATTAATTCCAGAGATAATATACAAAAAGCAAAAAGTATATGAAAAGATGTTCAGTATCACTAGTAATCATAGAAGTGCAAATCGAAAACACAATGAAATATCACCTCATACCACTTGGGATGGCTGCTATTAAAAAACAACAATAATAGAAAATAATGTATTGATAAAGATGTCATGCATATAAATTGTAACTGCTGGTGGGATTATAAAGTGGTGAAACCACCCTGAAAATAAGTATGATGATTCCTCATAATATTAAAAATAGAACTACTACATGATCCAGCAAATACCTACTCCTGGTATATATCCAAAATAATTGAAATCAGTATCTTGAAGAGCTATCCACACTCCCATGTTCATTGCAACATTACTCACAATAGCCAAGGAATGGAAATAACCTAAGTGTCCATTGACAGATAAATGGCTAAAAAAAACCATATATATATATATATATATATACACATATATATACACACACATATATGAGTGTTCACATGTATATTAAATTCACACATATATATATTATTTAGCCATAAAAAGAATGAAATCCTGCCATTTGCAACAATATGGATGAACCTGGATGAAATCATGCTAAGTGAAACAAGCTGGACAGAAAAAAACAAATATTATGTTATCTCTCTTATATGTGGAATTTAAAAACGTCATACTCACAGAAACAGAGAGTAGAATGATGGATTCCAGAAGCTAGATTTTCTGGAAAATGGGGCAAGTACGTCAAAAAGTACAAATATTTATTTATGCAAGATGAAAAGTTCTGAAGATCTGTTTCACATCAGTGTGAACATACTTGGCACTATGGAATTGTACACTTAAAACTAGTAAAAATGGTAAATTTTATGTTATTTGCATTTTACCACAATAGCAGAAAACTTTTAAAATTATAACATTTGAGTTTCAAAATCTAAAAAAAAAAAATACTCTTAGAAAAATTTGTAAAAACATCATGACAGATATACTATATATATTTTGTTCCTTGAAGTAGATGTTTCAAAACATGATATAATTACTGAATAGATGGGAATAAAATGCATACCAGAGCAATTCCTGCAGCAAACTTTGGATTGCATGCCATTCCATGATATGTTGCTCCCACATAATTAAGATGGTCCCTATAACTAAATAATAAAATTTTTCTTCTGAATAAATGCATTTTAAATTACTACTAACTTAATGACCTTTTAAGAATTGGATTTCTCAATAAAGTTATGTGTTTTTTTAAATACAAATATTACATATCACATCTCATGCTTTCAATCATTTTGTATTTGGGTAATCTCCCACAGTTCCTACAAAGTTAAGTTCTAAAATCTACTTTAACATTATATGATACACAGCCCAAAACCCAGTGGTGCCTAATCCTTCCAAAACATTAACCACCACTGTTGCCACCACTGGATAGTTATAATTTGAAGATGTACAAGTCAGGACAGCTTACTGCCATGATTTGCATATAGTGAACCCCTAAATCATGTAAAAAATGTTGGATTGGAGGACAGGGAGACAAAGAGAATATTCAGTAGACTCATCAAGAAAAAAAGAGAATGTAGCAATTGTCCTCATAACATTTCAGTCCTTAGTTATTGTAGCTCCTGAGTCCACAAAACCGACCCTAAATTCCACAGGAAACACCAATAGATTTATAAATATATTGCATATTACTCAGATCTTCAGAATTTTTATTATTCCCATCTCAATAATCAAACTATTAACAGAAACCTATATAAAGACTCTTGGAAAAAATAGTGCAAGTAGTTAAATAGCTGCACCTTAGGTCAGTATAGCTATATCGGATGGTAACCACACTTCTAATTTGATATATTGTATTTTAACCAGCATTATATGCAATTATTGCATTCTGTTAACTAATGTACATTGTGTTTAAAGTTCAAATGATAGTTTTAATTATTTACCTCTGAGAAAATCTTTAAAATCATTGAGGACCCCTGTTTATCTCAAGGCTTTCCAAATTTTCAAGTTTCTTACATTTCCATAGATAAAAAGCCTAGTGCAGAATAATGACCCACTATGACTTAGTGTCTTACATTGTTTTCAGAATTTTATCCTTTACAATTTGTTAACACAGTATGCATATAATATTTTTGAAGTGTCTTGTCATTACATATAACACATTTTGTATATAATCTTGATAGCTAACATATGAAATAATTTGACAAACCCTATGTCAATACAAATAAGGTACTTACATTAATAAGTATGCCATATCATGGGACCTTTGAAACAAAAATTTTTCTTTCCATGACACAAATCTTTGTAGTACTTCATTAGCATCCCCACTAAGTGAAATCTTATTTTGATCTGACCAGAGCTCCAAAGAAGTTAGTATAATAGTTATGTTGAGCTGGGAAAACATCTGAAAACAGAAGATACATAATATGTAGTTTTTAGGTAATCATAAATATAACATTACATCTCTATACATAATGCTAATATATTCAATTTACTATTTTTTGGAAATGAAATCCATTCATTGATGGATGAAACCAGTTGGTAGGATTACATTTTTAAAAGACTGGATATGCTATTTGTACAAACACTATTACTGCATTAATAGGAATGTTTCTTATTTAAATGAAACATAAATACTTACAGTGTTGATTAGACCAAAGATATGGACAACTTTCTCAGCTGCAACTGCCACTTCAGAGCCCATATAATTATACTGAAAGACAAATTTTGTTTCTTAACTGTTAGTGAAAATTACTGAACTATCACATTTTAAATGGATATAAAATGTTAAAATAATACAGTGTTCAAGTGAAAGGAAAAAAAATTAAGATTTACCAAGTACTTAATAAGTTTTAGGCATAAACCTAGAGACTTTATATATTAATCAATAATCTTAAAATAAGGTTGTCATTAACTTCCTCTTCACACATACAGAAATTAAGAGTCAAAAGTTAAGTTTACAAGATTGCAGAACTACCGAGGGTAAGAACCAGAACTCAAGTCCCCAACTAACTAAACTAGTAAGTCTTTTTTTTTTTTTCCTACTATAGTATGCTGCCATCATTTGTCTTCATCCCACTAAGAGATGACTATATATACTGATAAACAGTGCGGTTTCTAAACACAGAGCTCTGAGGACCATTACAGTGAGTAATTTCAAGAATATGTCTTCATTCAAAGGAACAGGAATCATAATATTTTCTCTAAATATTTCTAATTATGTGTATGTACACATTTCTAAGTGTTAGCGGAAAACATAAAAAGTGGCAACTTTTTATCTTCAATAATCTTCAGCAAGTCTGCCGAAAACTACTAACAGAAAATAAAATGTAATGGATACAGTTCTCTGATTTGGACAAAAGAGATGTTATCCTCCTAGGTCCTTAGAGACTATTTATACTTTGCTATTTCTCTGTATGTAACCTTTCCCAATAAACTATATTGTATATTTACACAATGCAGCAATGTGTGATATGAATGAAGGTGATCCTTTGCAAAACTGAATACATGAAAAGCAAGACAAAAGAATACAAAAATAAGTCTATGGAAATAAATCCATATATGTCAATAATCACAAATTATCAACAGACCAAATACTAGGTAAATGAAACTTTAAAAAAAATCCACTACATGCAAATTAAAATAAAAACCTCTAAATTATGAGTACATAGAGATATTGAGTCAAAAGATGAAAATATATAACCAGGAAAATAATAGACAAAAAGCATAAGTCATATGATAATTACATGAAAAAAGCTTAAAAGAAAAAGTGAACATAATAATCACAATGCATTAATAAAATATGCAATTATCAAAAAAGATGGAAGCATTCTAAATTTGACTATAACTAATAGCACAGCAACAAAATGTATAAAACAAGATTTAACAAAATTATAAGGGATTTTTACATAGTTCTCTTAATCATTACTAGATCAAGCAGGCAAATTAACAATAAATACAAGAGTTTTCAAATTAAAGCAAAATTTAGATATGTATATATAAAAGTTTATATAAAACAATGAGATAATATTTTTTTCAAATATACAATGGAGGTTTTACATAGTTTGACTTATATAAGGCCATAAAATAGTTATTTGACTATAAAGCATAAGTGTCACGTAGATCACATTGTCCAAACACAATGCAATTAAGATATAGTAATACAGTGTTATTTGATAAAAAGACTTATAGTAATACTTGATAAAAAGTATTTTAATGATGTTATTTTTACTTACATGGATAACTCTCTAAAAGCTCCATGATGCAATTTACAACTTACTTTCAAATAGAGAGAGCACAAGTGATAATGGGATATAACGTTAAACAATAAATCTAAGAAAAGAGAATATAGGTGTTCTTTCATTATTCTTATTCTTACAACCTTTATGAAAGTTTGAAAATATTTCCAAATAAGATGTTTAAAAAAATGAAGATAAGGGGTGCCTGGTTAAGCATCTGCCCTCAGCTCAGGTCATGATCTCAGGGTCCTGGTTTCAAGCATCAGGTTTCCCTTCCCAGCAGATAATCTGTTTCTCCCTCTCCCTTTGCCCCTCCCCCTGCTTATGTGCTCTCTCTCTCAAATAAATAAAATCTTTTTTAAAAATGAAGATAAAATAAAAATTTCATATGAACAAAAGTTGAAGAGACTTCATCAACAGGCTAAACAAAATATCAGAAACACAGACCTACAAGAAGGAATGAAGAATTTCGGAAATATTAAAATGTGGGGAAAAAATGAAATGCTTTTATCCTTTCCTTAATTTCTTTAAACAATTGAATAATTTAAAATAATTCATTTTGTGGTTTATAACATATGAAGAAATAAAAATATATTGCACTAACATCACAAAGGGGTTCTATGGAATTTCACTGTTGTAAGGCTCTTACGTTGTATGTGAAGTGGTATAACATTAATTCTAGATTGTAAAAAGCTAAGAATGTTCATTGGAACCATTGGAGAAACCACTGGGGTAAGAGGTGGGGGATAAAGAGGTATAGCAGAAAAAACAATATAGTAGATAAAAACAAATGCTGAAAATAACCTACTAATCCAAGGGTAACAAAGGAGGAACAGAGGAGTAAATAATTGATGGGACAAATAGAACCCTACTAGGAGAGCAACACTTAACCGACATCCATAGTTATCAGTAACTTTGGTATATATAATTCAACTGAATGTTCTAATGAAGAGGCAGAGATTATCTGACTGAATAGAGAAAAAAGAACTATCAATATTCTGTTTACAGAACCAGACTTTAAAATTGAAGACAGATAAACTAAACATAAAAGAAGAAATACTAATCATAGCATATTTTAAGGAACTCTTGGAGTTTTTAGTCATAGTTTTGGGTTTCTTTGTTTTGTTTTGCATGATGTCATTTGTATTGAAAATGCCTTCTGTTGTTATTGGAATGGTAAGAAGCTATCTAGCTAAGTGGAAAGAGGAAAATAGGCTGTCTAGATTTAATGTTAATAACCTCGTGGGAGTGGCTGTGGCAAAGCATAATGCCACTACTTGTGATCTTAGTTTTAGGCCAAATAGTATTATTCCCCATGTAACAACAAAAATCGAAATCTAAATCCCCAGGGTCAGTTAAGATGATAGAGTAATAGGAGGGCCCTATGTTTGCCTCATCCCTGGAACACAGTTAAATAAATACTGGATCATTCTAAACACCCAAGAAATGGATCTGAGGGCTGACAGAACAAACTGCACCACCGGAGGAAGAGAAAAGATCACATCATGCAGAGTCAGAGGTGTGGAGACACAGTTTTGGGGAGAAAAGAATCATGGGTGCTGCAGAAGGAAGGGAGCCCTGCTCATGGAGAGAGGAGGGAGAGAGATAGACAAACAGAGAGAGAGAAAAAGGGAGAGAGAGAGAGAGCAGTGTACAGGGGATCACAGAGGTAAAACTCTTCCCCAAAGTCATTGACTGGGAAAACAAGAGAGGCTGATTATCTTAAGTGTTTACAACCAATGGAACTCAAAGACTGGAGTTTTATAGTTCTGTGTTGTGGGTGGTGTGGAGCCCAGTGGGTGCTGCAGTGCTCCTATGGAGAAGGAGCATGCCAGGAGCTAATGGTGCGAAGATCCCCAGAGATGCACTGGGAGAGACATTCCCTCTTTTTGGACTGTATCTGGGAGAGATGGCTTTGCCTATCAGTGACAAAAGAACTGTCGGGCACCATTGTGTTCCCCCCTGCCCCTTAAGCATAGGGGCACAGACACCTGCCAAGGTGGCTAACCTGGACTCAGGCTTTTTGCTGTGTGTTACTCTAAACTCCCAGCTCCTGTGCATTGGTGTGACTGCCCCTTTGGGACAAACCGGCACAAGCCCCAGCCCGGCAAGACCGTCTCCCAGAGGACCAGCATGGGTCTGTACCACAACAGGTTCCTAAAGTTTGGAATTTTGAAATTCATCCAGTGTGTCTAAGATAAAACCCAGGCGCACTGCACTACTTGGCAGGCAGACACAGACAGGGAGAAGATAGGGAACTGAGAGATGCCTCCGACACATAAGAGAAGACTTTGCTCTTCTGTGAGGGCTTTCTGGACAGAGGTGGGTGTGAACTCACCTCTCTGGAGACAAGGGACAGGGCCAGGGCCACTTTTCTCCCATACCCATCAGCACAGACTGACTTCAGTGAATAGCATAGCCCCATCAACAATAGAGACCTGAGCCAATTAAAACAAACCATGCCTGCTCACATTCTGCTGGTGCTTCTTAACTAGGGCAAGTGTACCTGAGAGCAGCAGTCCCCTACCCCAGAAGACCAGCAAAAATCTCCATATGCACCAAGTCTACTGACCATAGTGCTATAAAGCTTCAGCTCTAGTGGAAATATCATCAGGCCTCCTTTAACAGGAAGACCAGAGTACACCTAGTTAAAACTTGCCACACTCTGGACAAGGTCCAAACACTCCCCACTGCAGGCAAGGAGAAAATGCAGAGGGCTGACCTGAAGGAAAGAGCAGCCAAAACACAGCAGCAGAGTGCACACAGCATACACCAGAGACACTTCCGGAAACACCAGGCCCTATAAGGCCATTACTCTCAGGAGCAGGAAATATAACAGGCTTTCCTAACACACAGATAAAGACAGAAACCTAGACAAAATACCAAGATGGAGGAATTCATCGCAAAAGAAAAAACAAGAAAATGTCATGGGATCTAATCAAAACAGATATAAGTAATATGCCTGGCCCAGAATTTAAAGCAACAATCATAAGGATACTAGCTGGGCTGGAGGAAAACATAGAAGACACCAGGGAGTACCTTGCCACAGAGATAAAAGACCTAAAAACAAGTCAGACCAAAATAAAAAATGCTATAACCTAAATGCAAAACCAACTGGATATAATGACCACAAGGATGGAAGAAGCAGAAGAATGAATAAGTGATACAGAATATAGAATAATGAAAGGTAATGAAGCTGAAAAGAAGAGGGAAAGAAAAATATTGGATCATGAATGTAGACTTAGGGAACTCAGCAACTCCATAAAGTGTAATAACATTCATATCATACAAGTACCAGAAGAGGAAGAGAGGGGAAAGGGACAGAAAGTTTATTTGAGGAAATAATAGCTAAATTTCCCTAATCTGGAAAGGAAACAGACATTCAAGTCCAAGAGGCACAAAGAACTTCCATCAAAATCAACAAAAGCAAGCCAACACTAAGACATACTGTAGTAAAATTTACAAAATATAGAGATAGGGAAAAAATCCTAAAAGCCGCAAGGAAAAAGAAATCCCTAACTTGCAAGGGAAGACCAGTAAGGCTAGCAGCAGATCTCTCCACAGAAACTTGGCAGGTCAGAAGACAGTGGCCTGATATATTCAATGTGATGAATAGGGAAAATATGCAGCAAAGAATACTCTATCCAGCAAGGCTATCATTCAGAATAGAAGAAGAGATAAAGAGCTTCCCAGACAACCAAAAACTAAAGGAGTTCATGACCATGAAACCAGCCCTACAAAAAATATTAAAGGAGACTCTAAGAGTGGGAAGAAAAGACCAAAAGTGACAAACACTAGAAAGGAACATAGAAAATCTCCAGAAACAATAACTTAACTGGTAATATAATGGCATTAAATTCATATCTATCAACAATTACTCTGAATGTAAATGGAATAACTGCTCCAATCAAAAGACATAGAGTGTCAGAATGGATAAAAAAAAAAAACAAAACCCATCTCTATATTGCCTACAGGAGACTCATTTTAAACCTAAAGAAACCTGCAGATGGAAAGTGAGGGGATGGAGAAAGAATCCTGAAAGGAGCAAGGGGGGAAAAAAAAGTCCTTAATCTACAAGGGAAGACAGATCAGATTCACAGCAGATTTGTCCACAGAAATTTGGCAGGCCAGACATGAATGGCAGGATATATTCAATGTGCTGAATGGGAAAAATATGCAGCCAAGAATACTTTATCCAGCAAGACTGTCATTCAGAAAAGGAGAGATAAAGAGTTTCCCAGACACATAAAAACTAAAGGAGTTCATGACCACTAAACCAGCCCTGCAAGAAATACTAAGGCGGACTCTCTGAGTAGGGGGAAAAAAGACCAAAAGCAGCAAAGACTAGAAAGGAACACAGATAGAGGACTTAGTAAATCAGTTAGTAAATTAAATTATATAAAATAGATTAATTGGAGACTATGTGAACTTCAAAATTAAATTGAAATAATATATCTCATTAATATGTGGGAAAACATTATAAAATAACTTACAAAATAGCATATATAAGACAAAGGTATATAAATATACACATGTATACATTTAAAACAGAACATGTCCGCATATAATTTATCCCTTGATTTATAAAACTATGTGTGTTTTTTCTTTATTATTTTTTGTCTATTCTTTACTGTTACTGATTTTTGAATTATTTAAAGATCTAAATATTTCCTTTTATGAACAAAATCATGACATTATGACACTCATTGAGATACTTTATGCAAAAATTATCAGTGATAATGGACAAATCTGATTTTTTAACTCGCTATTCATATGACTTTGCTCAAACTGTATAAACAAGAATCTCCATACCTCAATGGATATTCCTATGAATAAATCTCATTTTTGAAATACAGAACTTCCACTAGAGAACTCAAGCAATTATACAGCATAAGGTAATCTCATAAGAGATGATATTTAACAACAAGGATCTCTAACTGAGTAATAAACAAAATAGCTTGTTTTAAAATGTAAATCAAAAATAATAATAAAATAAAATGGAAATTGATTTTAGGAGAGGAGTTCACCATGAGCAGATTTAAAAATATCTATAGCTAGTTCTAATCCAATAGGTTATAGTGTAGTAGAACCTTGCATACAGAGTTATACATTATTGCTAGAATTCTATACTGATTTGGAAATCAATACCATAAATATTGGCCCCTGTATGTCAATGTAAAAGCAATTGACAACCTTTTTTTCTGTCCTGCTATCCACAAATACATATTGTGAACAGAGTGAAATATCTACACCGCAAACAAGGCAAGTTTCTTTTTCATATTCCCTTTGAACTTAAACACAAGACAAAGATATGATGACATATATCAATAATACATACCAAGGCTTTATCCATAACAATTTGTATTTTCAGAACTCTTTTCAATAGTGCAACATCTGACTTTTCCTGTGAAACAGAGGACATTATGAGTTAAATAAAACATTTTTAAAATTCTTATATTGTTTGTAATTATCATGAACATTATATAAGTATATATATGTACATACACACATATATATACATACATACCCAAAGAAAGGTATAGATAGATACATAGAAAAACAGATACAGATTCATCAAGATATAGATAATAAGAAAATAATAGAATAAATGTCCACTGAATAAATAAGCAGATTCCAAATACAAATTTTAGGAAGAAATCAGAAGATTTTACCTATATTCCTGATAATTAAAATCCTCAATAAGTTACTGGAGGGAGAACTCAAGTTTCCTTCCTCTCAAAACCTTCTTCCAAGACCCTCCCCCAACCTAAATAAACTCCAATCGACTGTCCTCCAAATGTTGCCTCTCTTTTCTCATTATTTTAATTCTGCATTAACTTGTGGCTTACACGCAGTGGAATGCATCCGTTTTAAAATACAGTTACACGAATTGGTACTGATGTAAATACCCATGTGACAATTTCCATAAGTAAGATAGAGATAGTTTCTAACTTGCTCTTCCAAGTCAATTACCCACATGGCTGAAGGCAACCAAGGATCTGCTTTCTCTCACCATAGCTTAGAATAATCTATTCCAGAATTTTATATAACTGGAATCATATAGTGTGTACTCTTTTATATGACTTTTTTTACTCAGCATTCCCCCATGTTGTTGTGATTATTAGTAATTCATTAGTTTTTATTGCTAAGTAGTGTGCCATTTTAGAAATACACTAAATTTTGATTATGCATTTACCTGTCAATGATGTGAAAGGTGGAATAAAATGGGGTCACTTTTGTAAAGGGGTTTTAAAATGGAACTGGGAGTCCATTAAGGAGGTAGGCCATATGCACATTCTCACTGGGTAGTACCATGAACTTCTGAACTGAGCCCAGCCTTAAACATTCCTAGGACTCTGCACAAACTTATCTGCAACTTGCTATAGTAACAAATTTTTGTTTAGTGACAGCCTTAGGAATCAATTATGTTTAGCCTAGTTTACTTTTCTGCCAACAACAATCAAAATCTTTGTAAACAACATATGCAAGCATCCCCTTTTGTCTTTAAAATAAAAGTTTCACTTTTGTTCCCTAGGGGGACACAATTGGGTTGCTACCGAAATCTGTGCCCACTGAATTGTAATTCTGAGACCCCAATAAATATTTTTGTTTTATTTCAGCTTTTTTCTTTCAGCAATATTTTGGATTATTTAGACCTCTTAGCTATCTTAAATAAAGCTGCTATGAATATCTATGTACAGATCTTTGTACAGTTATATTCATTGTTCTTGGGAAATATTTAGAAATATTTAGAATACCTGAGTTGTATGATAATTGTGGGTGTGTAAAATAATACAAAAGTACCAGATTACTTTCTAAAGTAGTTTGATTGTTCTGCATTGTCGCCAAGAATTAATAAGAGTTCTAACTGCTCTGCATTTTTGCCTATATTTGGTATTGTCTTTTCCATCGTTTCCATTCTTGTTGGTCTGTGCTGATATCTTTCTGAGGTTTTAATTTGTTATTCCCTGATGATTAATGTGGAACAGCTTTCCACATGCTTATGGCTCATTATTTTGGTTTCTCCTAAGTACCCTACTAGAAATTTTATGTTTAGCTTTGACATTTAAGTCTACACTCTAATTCAATTTTGTGAATAAGGGTCAAGATTCATTTTATTCCTTACAGATGCCCAGTCTTCCAGCAACACTTGTTGAAGAGATCATTCTTTAACCTTTTAAAGTCCCTAGCACCTTTGTGGAAAATCAATCCACCAATAGCATGTGGGTCTACTTCTGACCTATTCTGTTTCACTGATCTATATGTCTATACTTACACTAATAATACAGTATATATCTCTATAGCAGAGGTCAGCAAACAATGACACAAGGTATGGCCATCTCTTTTGTAAAAAATATCTTACTGGAACAAAGCCACGCCCATTTGTTTATATATTGTTGATGCTGCTTTCATGCTATAAAGGTAGAGTGAAGTAGCAGCAACAGATCATAAAACTCACAAGCCTAAAATATGTACTATCTGCCCTTTAAAAAAAAGTAATGTAATTCCTCCATTTTGTTCTTTTTAAAACTGTTTGACTAAGATCTTTATATTTCCTTATGAATTTGAAAACTAATATCTATCAAAATGTTTCCTGGAATCATCAAAAGTGGGATTACACTGAATCTACAGATCAACTGGAGGAAACAAACATCTTAACAATGTCAATATCTTTGTTTCCTGTGACTTTGCTAGACACTCTTATAGTCCTAATAGCGTTGGAAGATTTTCTTTGTGATCTACACACAGAGTTAGGTCACTAAAAACATAAGGTTATATTTTTCCTTTAAAAAAATGTGTAGCATTTATTATTATTCTTTTTCCTATTGTACTATCCAGAAATTATAGTAAAACATTGACTGGAAATAGTGAGGGCAACAGTCTTGAATTATTCCTAATTTAGGGTCTGTTTTAGTCAGTTCAGGCTATAACAAATATACCATAGACTAGGTGGCTTAAACAACAAATACTTATTTCTCAACAGTTCCAGAGGCTGGGAAGTTCAAGATCAAGACATCAGCAGAAGTGGTGTCTGGTGAGAGCGCTCTTCCTCATTTGCAAATGGCCATCTTCCTTTTGTATGCTCACACGACAAAGCAGAGAGAGAGAGAGAGAGATACGTGTCTCTTCCTTTTTTTTTCTTTTTTTTTATTATGTTATGTTAATCACCATACATTACATCATTAGTTTTTGATGTAGTGTTCCATGATTCATTATTTAATAAAAGCATTAATCCCATCATGAGGACCCTATGCTCACAAATGACCTAATTTAATCTTAATTATTTTTCAAAGGCCTCCTTATGCCATCCTACTGGGGGTTAGAGTTTTAACATATAGATTTGGGAAACACAGCATGCAGTCCATAACAAGGGCAAAACATTCTGTCACTTACATTCATTATGTTAGCTGTAGATACTCATAGATGTTCTTAACTAGATGAAAGAGGTTTCCTCTTCCTAGTTTTTATCACAAATGGGTATTGAATTTTGCCAAATGAAATTTCTGGAACTACTGATTAGATCTTATGGCTTTCTACATAAACATGTTGAATTGTTTTATTTAATTCCTCTTTTCCTGTACTGATTTAAGTAATAATGCCTCAAAATCCCATAGTCAGAATTCTTGGTGTTGCCAGTTTTTATCAGGGTTTCTTGAGAAAATTTTCAAATTCAGGATTCTTTTATTCAACAAGGTTTTATTCTTTAATAACCTGGAATATTCTGGGTGCTATTTTATTCATGAATGGCAATTTTAATTATCTTGAATTTCTCTTATCAGTCTTTCATACTCCATTAGTCAGGATTCCCTAGAAAAATCGAACAGTTATTACAATTTGTTATAATTAGATTTATTATAAGGAATTGGCTCACATAGTTATAGAGGCTGGCAAGTCCAAAATCTACAGAGTGAGCAGGTAGGCTGGAAACCCAGAGAGAGCTGATGCTACATTTCCAGTCTGAAGGCAGTTGGCTGAACAATTCTGTGGGAAGGTCCATTCTTTTGTCCTATTTAGGACATAAACTGATTGGATGAGGTCCATCCACATTATGGAGGACATTTCTGCTTTATTCAAAGTCCACTTATTTAGATGTTAATCTTATTCAAAGACACCCTCACAGAAACACCCACAAAATTTGACCAACTATCTGAGCAATATGTCCCAGCCAAGCTGACACACAAAATTCACCATCACACATTCTTAGGTTTTTTCTTTACCATCAGTTTTATATAATTGCTTTCTATTCTCAAATTTGACTATAATATCACGTATTGGGGTTTACCACAGTGTCTATTCTGTTATTCATTAGTCTTATTATCAATGGCTTTCATTTTTAAAATAGCTTTATTTTTCTCCTACATTTATTTCCTGAGCTTTTACAGGGATCTTTTATCAGACCATATAAAGGTAGACCATTAGACTCCTACAGAATATATCTCTGGGATCATATTACCTGGGTTTGAGTTTTAATGCTATACTTTAACAAAGAATTTCCCAGGATACATATTTATTTATTTATTTGTTTGTTTGTTTGTTTATTTATTTATTTTAAAGATTTTATCCATTCATTTGACAAAGAGAGAGAAAGAGAGAACAAGCAGGAGGAACAGCAGGCAGAGGGAGAGGGAGAAGCAGGCTCCCCACTGAGCAGGGAGCCCGATGTGAGGCTTAATCCCTGGACCTTGGGATCATGACCTGAGCCAAAGGCAGATGCTTAACCAACTGAGCCACTCAGGTGCCCCAGGATAATAACTTAAACTCCCTAAATCTTTGTTTCCTGATCTGAAAAGGGGAACAACCATACTAATTTTTAGAACTCTTCAAAAAGTTGGAAAGACAGGATATATGTAAAGCTCTTAGAACAATATGTGTCACCTATGAAGCAGTATATATAGTTTTTTCATTCACTTTGGATTTTGCATTTTTCTTACATTTTATATGTATATTTCATATACTCCATGTTTATTCCCTTCTAATTATTATTATTTTAGAATATATGTAGTTCTTTCAAGTCAAACCATCCTTGAACAATGGGTGGGGGGTGGGAATTAGTGACTCTTATTACACTTTTGTTTTATTATAAGAAATGGCTAATTATCTAAGAATGTTTGCTCCCTTCTCCAAGAGAAGAGATGTCAGTGAGACACCTGTCCAGGCTCAGCTGTATCGAGGTAGGGATGCACACACTCTTTCCCCTTACTCAGACTAAATTCAAAGAATCTAGTAGGGGACTCTTACAGTCCCAGAGTCAGAGCTAGGAAGGGAATCAACCAGGAGAGTTTCATCCACTTTGGTATTTTCATGAGCAACAAACCTGTTAAACCACTGACAGTTGGAATTTTTGCTTCAACATCTGGTGGGATTTGACCTAATAGAGATTCTCATGAAAAATACAGATTGAGGACAGCTGTTTACACAGTTCTTCCATCTTTTCATTTAGTTAAAGTTTACGATATTTGGCAACTATTGTTTGTGAATTTGGTTGTGATTGCACCTGGCTACTATCTTCAATCAGGATGAGAGTAGGGTCTCTTTTTTTCTGTTTAATCGTTGTTTGTTTTATTTTGGGGCAAGAACATTTCCATTAGGAGAAAAAGAAATTATAAAAATTAATTAAAAAAATCTGTTATGTAGTTCTGGCTTTGTACAGAATTATAGACTGGAAATTACTTTGCCTCACTTTAAGTAATTGTGGTATTGCTTTTCAACTTCCAGTATTGCTGCTGGGAAATTTCAGGCTATTCTACATCTTGAGCATATATATAAGAAACCAGATTTTTAAAATATCGGTTCAGAAACTCACCTTAAATAATTCTGAGAATTTTTCTTGGATTATTTTGTGATTTATTCAATTGAATTTCCTGTTTATTCATACTGGGAACTCCTATTGTATCACCCAAACTCTTATTTTAACTTAAATTTTTTATCTCTCAAGTTTCCCTGTCATTTGTCATTGTACTTTATTTTTGTGTGATTTCTGGAATTTTATCTTAAGAACTTCTTATTTTCTTTTTTTTTCATTTTTATTATCATAATTTTAAGTTTCTAAGACTGCTTACTTATCTGCTAAGTATTATTTTTTAAATAGCACTCCATTCTTAAATTTGTGGATGAAATATTTTCTCTTACTCCTCAGAAGATGTTGCCATTTTGTTTTCTTCACCCTCTGTATTCTTTGGTACCTCAAACTTTAAAAATTTGATTTTTTCATGTCTCCATCTTCCATATTAAGTTGTTTCATCATATGTCTAGTGCCCCCTCATATTAGCAATTGAATATTTAACAGCTTATTCCAACATCTCTATGACCATATATGAAGTTTATGGGCTATTGTCTTCAGAGAAAGCAATGTGTCTGGGTTGTTGGTTGGGAAAATGCTGTCAATATGAATAGTTTTTATTCTTTTGGCTGGTTTAATTCCTTCTGAAGAGGGCTCTTTCAATACACTTCTTAGAATGTGTATGCCTGGCTCCCAGTATCCAATGTGCCAAGTTTAAATTAAACACACTAGTTTCAGTATGGTATTCCTCTTCTATTGGGAAATACAATAGAACATCTGTGACTGGTGTCCCCATTTCATAGAATCCCCAAAGAAAACATCATGGATCTGTCAGTCTACAACAGAAACAATTCATTAGGACAGGAAAACAGGATTGCTAAATACCTACACAACTTATTTCAACCAATTATCTTCAGTCCACCTTTAAAATCACTTCCTATTGCAATTCAAGAAACAGCTGAATAGTACTGCAGTACGTCAAAGTTTCCCAGAGACTATTCCCAATTCCTGTTTCAGGATTTCTTTTCCTTTAGTGCCTGGGGTTCTTGGTCACGCCACTTCAAAGAATGAAGAGGTAGACAAGACGAAGAGTGGTGGGCAGCAAAGCAAAGTTTATCGAGCAATAGTACAAAGCTTCCAAAGAGGGAAGGGACCCGAGAGGGTTGCCATTTTGGCGTTCAAATCAAGGGGTTTTTACAAGCTCTTTTACAGAACTATTTTAAGTACCAGAATGTGGGCCCCCTGCAGATTTGTTGCTAAGTCATGCCAATCAGGGTTTCGATCGATCATGCACCTGTCTACCTAACATGTTAATGTTTACGTGCTGATGGTCTTTTTGGGCTGACATCTGGAGACTTATGTCTTAACTGCCTCAGCTCATGATAATGACAAATGTTTTATGGTCAATTGTTGTATCTCAGGATGTTTTGCAAAAGTCACTTTTACAGAAGTGCAAAATGGGAGGCTATTGCTGTCTTGTTTAAGCTATAAAATAGGATGGTAGTCCAGTTTGTCTTAGCTGTCCTGGCTCCCTGTTTTCTTTTTGGGGACCCTGGCCCTGACTACCTAACTGTCCAACTAACTCTTAACATTACCAGTTTAGGATTCTGCTTTTTGGAGGCTAAATCAGCTATCTGATATTTAATGTCCATTGTTATTTCTCCTCTCCTGTTCTGTTTGTGTTTGTATGTTTATGCCATTTTAAAAACACCTTTTCATTTAGTGGGTTTTTAAAAAGGGACAAGAAGGATAAATGTATGTGTTTAATATGCTTTCAGTAGGTAAGCCCTTTACACTATTTTGGTTTCTGTTCTACTTTTTATCTCTGAATTTTAATGAAGGTGTTCACCTTGTTTATAAGTTTCTTTGTGTTTACTTTCATGAATGTAAAAATATGCCTAAAATATGTCTTTATGTTATTTTTTTCTGTTCTTTTTAAAAATCTGATATATTGAAGATACTCATTCTCTTTATTCATGCTCGTAAAAGCACTAGTCATGTGATAATATGTTTAACTAAACCTATAGATCTAAGCCTATCAAATTCAGGATGAAAAGCAATTTTCAAGTTACTTCATGAAAGATATAAAATTCACAAACATATATTAATCCTGACTTATCTCCATTCCTGCAATGATATCCTTGGTTTCTTCTTTGGTTCTGAAATTTTTGTTTCTATTTTACTTCATTACTACATTTTATTTTGTACCCAAACTTTCCCTAATGACTTCCAAATACATTGTTCCACTACATCAGAAAATATGGTAAACAAATAAAAACAACAATTTTTACTGATCACTTTTTTGTCTACATACTATGCTAAGTAATTTCCATTTATAAATGTATTTAATCTTTGAAATAACTGTATGAGTTAGGTATTATTTTTATTACTTTTTTTAGAAATAAGAAAATTTACATACAGAAAAGTTATGTTACTCAGGCAAGTTTTAGCCACAAGAACTTGTGTAACATTATACTAATAGAATGTTAATTCAAAAACAGGGCAAATATGTATATATGCATCAACATACTTGCAATTAGGAAAATGTGAGAATTTCGATTTTTTAATTATGTGTGTTTATATATTACATTTTCTATATATCATGTAACTAAACATAAAAATATACTTAAATATCTTGCAACAGAAGATTTTAATATAATTAATATCATTTAAATTTGTTTTCCAAATGTAACAGTTCCAATGTGAATAAATTTATCAAAGATAACACAGTGAAGATAACATAAAAGTGGTTACTTACTTCCGATTTCACAAGAATCCTGAAGGACTGATCTACCAGTTGGGTTGTAGGATAATTTTCTTGTACAGGTGAAAAATCAATTTTATTATTCTTTATTTGATAAAGCATATGCTCATATGCAGCTGCAGATTCCAATGGCTCAATGCCATAACTGACATTCTGCAACAGCAATAATCCCCTAGGTATTTAAACACATAAAAAAGAAATAAAATGATAGTTAATATAGACTACCCGTGGAGAAATATAAATCAACATTAAATAAAAAAATTTTATGGGAATTTAACAGTGGTCTTTGTGGCCTAATATCTAAGAATCATCTCTTTTTATTTGGGTAAACTTTCAAACACAATTTTACAGCTTCTTCTCTCTATTATGGCATTTAGAAGTCATTGTGGTGCTAGTGTGGCTAAGACATGTGAATATTCTTCATACTAGTGGAAGGTTTTCCTGCATAAGTTTTATGACTGCCAGCCTAGGATAGAGACAAAGAGAATAGGAAAAATGATAAGATGAGGAGGAAGAAAGGAAAGTATATGAGAAGAAACACAATCAAGGTCTCTATTTTTCTTTGTCTTCACTGTATCTTTCAAGATGTTTCTAAAAATTAAAGGATTACACAAGATTTTCAATCATGTACATCTCTAGAACATGCCATTACCTGAGTCCAGAACAAGTGCTAAGTGTCACAACTGATTTTGGAACTTCTGCGGCATATCCTTGATAAAGGCAATGGCCCTAAACAGGAGTATACAAAGATACATTCATGAATTATTTGGATTTTTTTTTAAGTTTTTATTTAAATTCATTAGTTAAGCACACAGTGTAATATTAGCTTCAGGTGCACAACACAGTCATTCTACACTTCTATACAAAACCTGGTACTCATCGCAACAAGTGCATAAATGATTTGTAAATAAAGTTATTGGTGTATCCTTACTTCCTAGATATCATCAAACATTTAATTTAGCCATTACCATAATATTATCTACCAGATATTCCATTATCTGCAATCTCTTCCTCTTAAACATTTTTGCCTAATAGTCATGACTCCTATCCTTCCCCCAAATAATTCTTACTTTAATTCTAAATATTTGACAAACAACTTTTTTATCTGCTTCTTTTCTCTCTCAGCCACATTTCTCAAATGTATAGTTTATAACTACTAACTTGATGTAATTACAGCATTAATTTGACTTCAAATGTGAACATTTCACTTGTTTTTTTTTAAGTAACCCAAAAGTATCTTAACTGAAATTTCTTCATTTTCTTTCTCTTTACTATCTCACCAAGTTGATCATCCTTAGTTCAAGCTCTCCTCCCCATGGACTTTCACAGCATTAATCTTCCCAGGTTCTCCCCTAATAATCTTTTTCAGTGAATATTCCCTTCTCTTCCCTTAAAAGTCTAGTGATATCTACAGTCAGCCCTGTTCCTTTGTTAATGCTGTGCTATGAAAACTTTAGTATCATCACATTCCTATGAATTTGTTTCTATGCTATTATTATATTTTATTAGCTGTAATATATATTATTTCCATCAGTTCCAGATAGGAAATTTCCTCACTGAAGGGGGACTAGCAAAAATAGAGTGAAAGGCACACTGACATCAAGTGGCTGGAGTACAGCCAGAAGAAATGCTATCTATCCCATTTATCCCTCATCATCTGACCCCATCTAGCAGTACAATGTGGTCCAGGTAAGTACCTCTTACCACCACAGGCTGCAATAGCAGAAGTCCAGTAGCGCCAGAAGAACAAAGTTCAACAGAATAACATTAAAAGCTATAAGAAAGCTAAAGTGTCATTGGAACAACACACCACACTAAATCTAAAATTAAACTGGGTGACTTCTTCAAAAACAGAAGATTTAATCATCAAGGATACAAGTGAAAATCACCCACTATACCAAGAACCAGAAAAATCACAACAAAAAGGAGAAAAGACAACCAACTGATGCCAGTATTGAGATAAGCCACATGTTGGAACTATCAGACAAAGATTTTAAAGCAGCCATGGAAAATTGCTTCAATGAACAATCACAGATTATCTTGAAACAAAAGACAGAATAGAAATAAAAGCCATAAAAAACAAAGTATTAGAACTGAAAAATATATACACATAAAACAAATGTCTGGATAGGCTCAAAAGTGCACTGGAGATGGCAAGGGATAGAATCAGTGAACTTTAGGACAGATTAGTAGAATTTACTCAATATATAAAACAAAGAAAAATGAACTAAGAAAATGCATGGAGCCTCAATAACTTGTGGAACAATACCAGATCTAAAATACATATCAGAATCCATGAAAGAAAACAGAAAGAATGTGGAGTTGAAAAGTACTCAAAGAAACAAAGGCTGAGGGGCACCTGGGTGGCTCAGTCAGTTAAGCATCTGCCTTCAGCTCAGGTCATGATCTCAGGGTCCTGGGATCAGGCTCAGCAGGGTAGGGAGTCTGCTTCTCCCTCTCCCACTGCCACTCCTCTCCCCCCCAGCTCATGCACTCTCTCTCTCTCTCAAATAAGTAAATCTTGAAAAAAAAAAAGAAAGAAAAAGAAAGAAAGGCTGAATTTCTGGTCAGGAAGAATGGAGTAAGAAGCCCTGGGCTTCTTGGGAGAAATACACCAATTCAGCAACAATTCATGGACAAATTCCCTTTACGATTAATCAGAAATTAACTGAAAGGCACACCCTAGAAGAATGCAAAATCAAATCCACCAAAGCCAATATGAAGATTTGGTGTACCTTTCACCAGGGACACTGCCCAGAGCACTGTCATATATCTCAAGTGACTTTCCAGCTCCCAGCTTGACCGGGGAAGGAAAGGGGTTTGTTCACATGTCAAGTGCCCCAATTGTTCTGAGGGGGCTACCCAAAGAACTAGTATCTGTATCACCAGTCTTAGGAGTCCTGATAAGTTCAGCACAGTCTTAGCCACCCAGGTAAAACAGAAGTAGTGATATGGACTAGTACAAATCATTGATTTGCAACCCCCACAACTCAGCACAGAGTGAGTGAATGAAAAACCCTAGCTTTCTGTTTCTTACTGGAAAAGGAAAAAGTTGATCCATGCATGTAGTGCCTCCACTTCACCAAAACTGCCCATAGAATTGGCATCTGTCTCACGAATCCTGGAGCACTGATAGATCTGGCAGAATCTATTTGCCTACAAGAGACCAGAGGCAGCAGCTTGGGATGGTAGAGATTATTGACCCTCCTTTCTGTCTAGCACAGAGAAAGCAGGAAAAAAACACAGGTGCCTACTTCTCCCTGAAGACATAAGTTAGTAAACGCCCCCAAAATCAATGGCAAGGCTGATCAGGGGAATCCACTTCTGCACAAGGCCAGTTGGTGAAGACTGAGAGAGTTGACTGCTTTGACTATTAGTCAACAAAAAAAACAGTGAGTCAAGTAAAATGAAAAATCAGGAAAAGATGTTTTAAACAAAGGAACAAGATAAATCTCCAGAAATTGAACCTATTGAAATTAACTTAAATGATTTACTGTACAGAGAGTTAAAAATAACTCTCTAATACAAACTCCCAATTATAAAATAATAAGTAATGGGGATGTAATGTACAGCACAGCAACTACAATTAGTAATATTGCATTGCATATTTGAAAGTTGCTAAGAAACTATATCTTAAAATTCAGGAACTGTATGGTGAGGGATGTTAACTAGACTAACTGTGGTGATCATTTTGCAATATATACAAATACTGAATCATGCTGAACATCTGAAATGAATATAACATTAATGTAAATTATACCTCAATAAAAAAAGAACTCTCATAAAGATACTCACTGAGGTCAAGAAAACAATGCACAAACTGAGTGAGAATTTCAAAAAGAGATAGAAAAATTCACTAGAAAGTTTCAACAGCAGACTGAATCAAACATAAGAAAAAATAACTGAACTCGAAGACAAGTCTGAGTAGCAAAAAGAAAAGAGACTGAAAAAGTAAAAAAAAGCTTAAAAGACGTGGAACACTACCAGAAAGAACACTATCCACATTATGGAAGTCTCAGAAGGAAAAGAGGGAGAAAGAAAGGAATAACTATATGACATAAAAGAGGTGTTAGCTAATGCTAAAGTGCATCAAATCAACACATTGTACACCTTAAAGTTATACAATATTATGTATCAATATATCTCAATTAAAAAAACAGAAAGCTTGTTCAAATAAATAATGGCTAAAACTCCCCAAACCTATAGAAGGAAATGGATATCCATTTCCAAGAAGCTCAAAACACCAAATAAAATGGTCCTAAAGAAATCCACATTCAGATATAATGTAATCAAATTGTTAAGTCAAATGTAAAGAAAGAATTTTGAGAGCATCAGGAGAAAGTGATTTGTCACATATGATGGAACAGCCTTAAGAATTTCCATGGATTTTTCAGTAGATACGTGGCAAGACAGAAGGAAGTGAGATGATATATTCAAAGTGTTGACAGAGAGAAAAAAAAAAGTCAACCAAAAATATTATGCCCTGCAAAACTAAAGAAATGAAGAGACTGGTCTATGGTTATACATATAAGGAACTTGGAAGTTACCACTCCATGTTAACTATAGGTAAAAAGCTAAGAGACGGAAAATCAACATTTTTTAGATCTGGAATAGAGGTGAGGACACAGAGCAAACTATAGACCCCAAGATTGGGGAGGTAGGCAGGGAAACACAGGGAGTTACAGCTTACTGAAGCAGAAGTAGTAAAAAGTGCTGTTGGAAATAGTGTTAGGGTATTTAATCCTCACAGTAATTGATGAAATGCTAGACAATCAGTGTGGACAATCCTGAGAAGTAAAAATTCCAAAGAAACCCATAATGAGGTCCCCACAGTTTTGTGACATTTACATCCAGAAGCATGACAAACATGCCATAGTAAATATCAGAGAAAAATCTCTCATGCTTTCAGTAAGGGGATGAGAAAAGGGACCATTTTGAAATACATCAGAGCATTATGTTCTTAACAAGGCTTGATATCAGTGGAACCATAAAACTAAAGACTAATTTGCTGGGAAATTATCAAAGCCTAACTGACATGGGGAAGGGAAATACCCAACTCCAGCCCACTCAGGCCATTCTGTCCCAACCAGAAAGGAAGAAAAAGAAACTGAGAAAGACTTGTGTTGTGCACAGTCCAGAGGCATAGGCCAAGTAAAAACCTGAGTCTTAATCATATGACTGCAGAACACTTCCTCTCGCCTCATACCTCACCACTACATTACTGAAGGCATACTTATAGCAGTTCTTTTTACCTAGTACATCATGTCCAGCTATCCAAAAAAATGCCAAAGGCAAAAATGCAATTTGAAAAGACAGAGCAACCATCAGAATGAGACATGGCAGGAATGCTGGAATTATCAGATTGAGAATTTAAAACAACCATTAATTATTGTTATGCTAAGGGCTCTAATGGATAAATCAGACACCATGCAAGAACAGATGAGCAATATAATCATAGAGATAGAAATCATGAGAAAGAACCCAAAATAAAAGCTAGAGATTAAAAAAAAAAAAAACAGTAACAGAAATGAAGAGTGCCTTTGATGGTCTGGTAGATGGAAGTGTCTGAGAAAAGAATCTCTGAACTTGAGAATATAGCAACAGAAACTTTAAAATCTAAAAAGCAAGAAAACAAAAACAGAATAAAACAGAAGAATATAGTCACAGACTATGGGACAACTACAAAAGTTGCAACATACACATGATGGGAATATGAAAAAGAGAAAGGA